TATTATATTTCCTTTAGGATATATCCATCTATCAATCCTTATTATCTTAATTATGGTGAAATATATAGCATAACTTTAACCATTTGTAAGTGTACAATTCAGTGGCATTAAATACATTCACAATGCTGTGTACCCGTCACCACTATCTATGCCCCAGTTTTTCATCATCCCCAATATAAACTCTGTACCCATTAAACAACAGCTCCCCATTCCTGCCTCTCCTCCAGCCCTGGAACCTCTGTTTTACTTTGTGTCTCCGTGGATTTGCCCTGTCTATGTACCTCATATAAGTGGAATCATACAATAGCTGTCCTTCTGTGTCTGGCTTACATCACTAAGCATAATGTTTTCAAGGTTTATCAAACTTCCTTACCTTTTTATGGCTGAATAGTGTTCCAGGGTGTGCGCACACCACATTTTGTCTGTCCGTTCGTCTGTTGATGGACTCTTCAGTATTTCTTTCCAGATATACTACAATAACCTCACAAATGTCCCTCCCTTAGCAGCCCTTTATTCTCTCTCTGTTGCCATAGTGATCTTTCCAAAACAAATTATAAGAGGCTTCTTGGATATATTCATTGGCTTTATTCACCCTCCCTGACCCTATCCCATTCTTGGCTACAGCGTGGCACCCAGCTCATAGTGACAGTCCGTGTCCTTGGGATTGCATCTGCCTGCTTCTCCAAGCTGGTCTGCTTTACTCTCCTGCTCACCGGATGCTTCAGCCACACCAGGTACCTCACTCTACCCCAAACATGCCATGCCCTTCTCCCTACTTGTCTCGCTTTCTTCCGTTTCTTCTGCTGAGAATATAATTCATTCTGCTTTTCCACACGGAAATCTCTATTCGCACTTCAAAATCCAAGTTAAATGTCATGTCTGTGAAGCCCTCACCAAGTCTACCAGGTAATGTGTTGCTCCTTTCTCTGTTTTCCCAAAGTATTTTGTTCCTACCTCTAGTCTCAGCCCTTACTGCATGTACTGCAGTAATTTTCTTACTTGCCTTTTTTAAAATGAGATTGACCTCTGGGACTGACGATTTTTTTGTGTGTTTATTCCATATGCCCAGAACCTAGAGTGTCTCTCCCAAAGAATGCTGTGCATGTTACTATGAGATGGGGAGAGGCCTGAAGGCGGAGGCAGAATTCTGGGTTCGAGGACCATCTCAGCTACTGAGTGGCAGGCCTTGGCCACATCACTTCACCTCTCTGAGTTGTTCTTTGTAAACAATTCAACATCCTAGAGTGGGATTGAGAACTAAGTGAGTTGATGGATATAAAAGTGCTCCTTACAAAGTAATTGTGAGGGTTTTAAAAATGACCTATTTTATTAGTCTTCGTGTACTTCGCATCCCAGATACATTTGAACTTCTACAGGGAGATTACAGTTTTATGAATTATTTCTTTAAGAATTAATCTCAAATAGTAGGGGTATAATTTTAGAGCAAATGATTCATTTGTCATTGTTTGATTTGTTGCTATAAATGGTGGAAATTCAGGGATGCAGAGTTCAGGCAGTGAGAGAAGGAACTTTCTAACTGTCAGTGTCGACCAACGATGGATGCTTTGTCTCAGGGGTCATCAGTTTCTCTTCACTGAGGTGGGCAGGCAGATGCTGGCTAACCTCACCTGTCAGGGAGGCTGTCAGAGATATTCTGAACTGGACTGAGGAGGAAAGGAGGGCTAAACCAGCTGACTCTCGAGGTGCCTCCCCATTCTGGACGTGTATTATCCTGACCTTACATACAAACTATACTGAGAAATGGATCAAAGCTTTTGTATTCAGGGGATGAAATACAACAGTGGGTTTTTTCTTCCTCTTTATGTGAAAGTTGTAGAATTTATGTAAGATCACAGTAAAAAAAAATCTGACATTTCTACTTTGTGAGTCCTGGCTAAAGCTGAGATTTGGTTTTGAAATATGAAAGCAAACTTAACTACCTCAATTTAAGTCTCTAGGACTTAATTTATATATTACCTTTAAAGTTCTCCCAACTTTTCACCCTGGAGAAAAGGAAAAATTACAGTCATCTTACTTAGGGCTGGAAGTCTGGAGAGACACTCGTTCTAGGTTAATGGAAAGCTAACCCTGCCTTGCCTGGGCTTCTGGCAGTGTCCACCCTCTATTAACATGAATTCTCACACCCAGGGACATAGTTATGAGTCTCACATATTAAGCTGAGTGCTTTGGGGAATCTAAGTGCAATTGCAAACCACTTTAAGAAACATTTCTTTATGATATTTTTAAGAACACCTACTTGTTTTTAAACATCATCCATTCGCAGTCCAAAGTGGCTTTTTAATGTTATTATTGCTCATGGCAAACCTATTTCAATTCTCTGAAAACTACTTTTCAGCTTTTCTATTTGCGCTGTTTCCATTCAAGTCTGCAAGCATGTGACTTGCTTTCCTTGAACCTCCTCCACTGCCAATCACCCCTCCAGCCCGCACCCCAAGGAGACGACAGCGAAATGAAATCAGAAGCACACACTGTCGGCGTTAGAAGCCTCCCTAGATTTCATCTCAACTAATTCAAACCTTTGCACCTCCCTTATTAAGGGTGAAGAAACTGAGGTATGGAGCTTCCCAAAGCAAGTAGCAGATTAGGCCAGGACACGAGGACCTTCAAGTCCTTATAGACTCTCTTAGGTTGGTCTCCCCGGAAGTTGTACATGAAACCAACTGCAAGTAGTTTATTAAGGAGATGATCCCAGGAAACACAGCAGGGGGTGGGGAAATGAGACAGGGAAGGGAGGCTGCCCTTCACGGTGTGGTAAGGGGCAGGATGACTCTGTGGGCAGCTGGGGCTCGGTCCCCATGAGAGCATCTGGAGAAGGTTTAGAACAAGCCTCTGAGTTGTCCCAGTGGAGCAGCAGGAAACTGGTGGTTCCACAGTTATCCACCAACTCTCGTTTGGCATTGGTTGAGGGCTGCTCCCAGGTTCTTAATTCCTCAGCACTTCCAGCCTGTTTTATGCAGGACTGAGCATTTGTCTGCAGCTGGAGAGGGCCCTCAGCGGAGTTGCAGGGTCTTTCAAAAGTAAGTCACCCAGCAAACATGCCCGGGGGGTGTGGGTGGGGCAGTGACAGCCTCTGCTATGGCGGCCAGAAGCTCATTCTTTCTTGTTCCTGGTCAATAAACTTGATTGCTTTAGAGGCCGGAGACCGAAACAAAACACGATTTATAAGGGGAAATTAAATGTATAGGGTTGGTATTTGAAAATGAGTAAATATTATCCCTATTTTACAGAACCCGGCCAGCACTTGTGCACGTTACCAACTTTGTACACGCTGTCCCTCTACTATATGTGATCTCCTAGAAAACTCCTATTCATCCTCCAAAGTCCAGTTCCAATAAGAACTTTCTGTCATGTCCTTTCCTGATTCCTTAGGAAGAATTCACTGCTCCCTGGCTTTGCTCTGACAGCACGTCCTGCCAGCTCTAACATGACTGTGGAGTGTCTGCCTCCCCGTGTGCCCATCTCACCTGCAGCTAATAGCAGTAATAGTAGTTAATGTTTACTGAGTTTAATTATGACTTTAATTATGTGCCAGGCACTGTTTAAATAATTTATGTGAATTAACTCATTTAATCTTTTCAACAATTCTATGAAGTAGCTGGAAGTACCATCTCTGTTATGCAGAATGGAAACTAAGACAGAAGTTAAGCAACTTTCCCAACATCATGTAGTTAGCAAACAGTAGAGCTAAGTTTAGTTCCAGAAGCACAGGCTTCCAAGTCCCTGCTCTTAACTACTGCATGGAACAGGCTCTCTTTGGTTGGAGGAGAGAAGAGGGCTCACGGACAGAACCCCGGGGGTATTTCTGACAGTTTTGAAGGGCCTCATGCCAGACAGGAAAATACTGTAAGAGAATCTTAAACAGTGAGTAACCCAAGATTTGCACTTTACAAAGATCAGCCCTGCTATCCTGCACAGGGTGAACTGGAGGAGAAGAGACTGACAACGGAGATAATGGTCCAGAGGCTGGCACGATAATCCAGGGAAGAGACGATGAAGTCCCAAGTTTAGCAGGGACCCTGCTCCTGGACTGAGCCCTGCCTACCTCCCCAGTCACTCCCCGCGATGGTGGGGCCACTATTCCTAGATGTGTGGGGACTCCTGTGCAAGAGCACCTGGCCTCGGGGCCTGTGGGGGCCGAAATGCAGCCTGGGCTCTGGCTGCCACCTCCAGCCCCACAGAGGAGTCACAGATGCCAAGAATGAAGGCTGCTTGCTTGCGCAGGGAAGCCACATGGGCTAGCAGTGGCCCTGTCCAATGCTCCCTTTAATCTAGACATTTTAAACTACTCTTTGTTTTCTAATAATGTCATGATTTTCCCCACCTCTGTGTTTTGAATGTTTGATTTCCTCTGCTAAGGATGCTCTTCCACACACTCATTCATTCATTCATTGTTTCTCTTATTCACAACACATTTTTGGGGCACCCAACGTGGGCCAGGGACCTTTCTAGGTGATGAGGAATTTACAGTCTAGGGGATGAGACAAGTGTTAATAATTATACAAACATGTCACTCTGATACTTTCTTTGAAGGTAAAGTCAGGGGACCATGAGACTACATTGGATGCTGGGGACCTGTCTGCGCTGGGATGCAGGTGGCCAAGGTAAGGTCGTGACTGGGACAACACGGCTTCCCTTAGGATGTATGTGACTTTCACACTGAGACGTAGGGAACAAGCAGGGGTTCACTAGGCAGAGTGGGTAGGGAAGGACAGCGGCCACCCTGCCTGCAGCCCTCCTGTGTGTTAACGGCGTGCTCATGAATCTTAGGGTTAGGGCAGAGAGGTCTGGAGCCCGGATGAGATTCAGCATAAAAAAGGGAGGGGAAGGCTGAGGAGGACACCCCCAACAGAGAAGGGGGGAATGGAGACATGACAGAAGCTCCAGGGAGAGGGGACTGTGGACCATGGCTGGACACTGAGAAGACCTGTGGGGAACTCTCACAGCAGGCTGCTGAGGAGCTCTGGGAAATAGGGATGTTCAGTATTTTATTTTAAATTGCGCTTCTGTGGCTTACAATGCTTCCCCTCCCCAAACCTTCAGTGTAATCAGTAGCACACAAATGCCTTATGTTGCTGGTTTTAGGGGAAACAGCTAAGTTCCAGTAAGGGCCGGTGAGGAACAGTGAGGACAGCACAGCCAAGTGAGGTGACACAGAACAAAGGATGGTGGGTGGACACAGAAATTTGGAGGCAGCAGCAAAAGAAGGTATTCATAGATTCAAGTTGATTTAAACCTTAGAATTTTTATTATGATGAGTGATAGTATAAAGTGATGATCAAAGGCCACACTAAAGAGCATCTGATGAGAGCAGGGCAGCCTAGATAGGGAGACAGAAAAAGGAAGGGACATTTTCACGGGTGTCTTTGGCGTTGCGAAGAGACTAGGGTTTCATTCTGGACATCTGAGATTCAGCGTGTAAACTCCAACTGAAGAGGACTCCTCCCCCAGTTGGCTCCCCAACTCACCACCCAGCCAGGCCACAGTGCAAAGCTTACCAGGATTTTGGACAATTACTAGTTCACCATTTATTGAACACCTGCTGCTTTCTGAGTACAAAGTCACACAGTCCTCGGCCCCTGGAGTACTCAGCCTAGTCGAGGAGGCAAAGCTCACAGTACAGTGATCAGTGCTGCCACAGAGGCAGGTCCAGAGGGTGTGGGAGGGGGAATGGGACCTTGACCCAGTTGTGGGCATCGGGCAGCTTCCTGGAGGAGGGATACTAAGCAAGGTCATGGTGTCTCCCAGGGTAGACAGATGCCAGGCACACAGAGGGAGGGGACACAGGGCAGCTGCAGGGGCACCTCGGCTGTCTCTGCAGGGCTCGTTTGTAAGCACAGAGCAGCCCCAAGTCACATCTTCCCAGCTGGACT